GAGCTGGGCCCGACACATTCATATTCGTATGCTACAACATTTTACATCAGTCAGCCCTTGCAGTCCTTTACGCCTTTACATTTTTATTTGGTCACAAGGAGTTCTTCCACAGCTGTGGAAATCCGCCAAATTTTTTCTCCCTTTCCGCAAACCAGGCACTCGGGACATGAAACCTCCCACTATCGTCCCATTGCTCTTACCAGTGCAGTTTGCAAAGTAATGGAACTCTAGTAAATAGACGTTTAGTGTGGTAATTTAGAGACACACAACAGTCTCTCCACTCGTCAATATGGCTTTCGTAAGGGACGTTCTACCATAGACCCCTTATGCGCTTGGATACGTATGTTCGTAATGCCTTTGCGAATAACCACTCAGTTATTGCCATATTTTTTGATCTTGAGAAAGGGATATGACACAACTTGGGAGTATAATAATTTTTGCCCAAGCCCACTCCCTTAAGGGCCCTTTGAGGCAATCTACCATCCTTCCTTAAGAACTTTTTACTGACAGGCATTTCCGTGTTCGGTTAATAATGTGCTCTCCCCGGACTTTATCCAAGCTGAAGGTGTCCCCCAGGGATGTGTTTTTGAGCACAACACTTTTTCTCCTTGCTATTAATGATTTGGCCTCTAGTCTTCCATCAAATATTTGGTCATCACTCTATGTTGATGACTTTCGCTATTGCCTGTGCAGGCGCTGACTGTCACCTCCTTACAGTTTTTTCTCCAGCATGCAGTCCGACCGTGTTTCCAATTGGGCCACCCCACATTTGGGTTTAAATTTTCCAGCACAAAACCCACCAAATCACTTTCACTAGACGCTCTGTCATCTCTGATCATCCTTTGTACCTCTATGGCTCACGTATCCCTGAAAGTTTATTTCATCAAGTTTCTGGGCCTCCTCTTTGATCGTAGGTTATCCTGGAAACCTCACATTACCTCTCTGAAGGCAACTTGTCACAGCCGCTGAACCTTCTTAAAACCCTTGCTCATCTTTCGTGGGGAGCTGATCGTCGAACCCTCCTTCACCACATTCCACCCTTATTTTATCGAAACTTGATTATGGTGACCAGATCTATTCAGCGGCATCTCCTGCTACTCTCTCTAGCCTTAACCCCATTCATCACCAAGGATTACGTTTATGCCTTGGTGCTTTTTGCTCTTCCCCTGTCGAAAGCCTCTATGCAGAAGCGAACGTTCCATTTCCCTTATCCGATCGCCGTGATGGCCCATTTCCTGCGCTACTATGTACGCTCTCATGATCTCCGCAATCCTTCCATTTATAGAAAGGTCACTGATATTAGTAGACATTCTTTTTGTTCGCCGCCCCTGCTTACTCCGTCCCTTTTCTCTTCGCCTTCATTCGCTCTTGTCTTCTCTTCAACTACCCCCTTTCTATGTACATGTAGCATCCACTTTTCCCTACCCCCCTGGGAAGTTCCAGCTGTCGAGTCTGTTCTTTCTCCCCCCCTTGCTCGAAAGCCCAACTGTCTACGGTCGCTTCCGCTCTCTTTTTCTTGACCACTTTCACTCTCATTCTCATGCCATTGCTGTGTACACAGATGGCTCTAAGTCTTCTGACGGCGTAGGATTCGCAGCAGTGTTTCCGGACAGCGTCGTAAAGGCATTTACTATCTTCAGCTAGTATTTTTACTGCTGAATTATATGCCATCCTTACAGCACTTATCCGTATTGCATCTATGCCTGTGTCATCATTTGTGGTTGTCTCAGACTCCCTTAGTGCTTTACAGGCTATACAAAAATTTGATACACCTCACCCCTTAGTCCTCCGTATCCAACTTTGGCTACGCCGCATCTTTACTAAGCATAAAGTATTGTTTTTTTTGGGTCCCTGGTCATGTTGACGTACAGGGGCAATGAACAGGCAGACACTGCTGCGCGGTCAGCAGTACATGACCTACCAGTTTCTTATAGAGGGATTCCCTGTACGACTATTTTGCTGTAATATCTTCCCACCTTCACACCCGTTGGCAACAACGTTGGTCTACTATGCTCGGCAACAAACTTCAGTCTATTAAACCGAGTATAGGTTACTGGCCGTCTTCTTTTCACCAGTGTCGAGGTTGGGAGACTACTCTCTCCGTCTTCGCATTGGCCATACTCGTCTTACTCATGGATATCTCATGGAGGAAAGGGGTCTTGCTCCTCTCTGTGAGAATTGCCCAAACTCCATTATCAGTCAGCCACATTTTGTTGGGCCCGCCACTTTATCAACGAGCAGCAGAATTTACCTCTGTCGTCGTCTTCGCCCGCTGCTCTCTCTTTACCCTTCCCCTTTTCGCTGATGGACCCACCCTTTCATCCGGACTCTCTCATTGACTTTTTGACAACGGGCTGACTTACTCCACAAATTTTGATACGTTCAGCCCTTTCTACTTGTATCTCTTGCTACCCTCTACCCCCGTACTATCCCCTGCCCCGCTGTTTTCTGTACCTGCTGATCATCCCCCTCCCTTCTGCCATCCAATTCCCTTGCTTCCTTCCCTACCCTGCAGCGCTGTAAAAGCCCTTGTGCTTAGCGCTTCTTTTGATTATAATAATAATCCCATTATATCACTGAAACCTGGGGTTGCAAATCAGGCGGTTTTGTTGGGCCAGTATGATTTCACTTGTGCTTATCACAATGTGGCATAAGCATTAATTGTGGCAAAGAAAAGATACATCTCAGCCACAGTTGCCTCCTTCCACTGGTGTAGACATGATTTTGGTGAAAGTAATATGTTTGCCATGGTGTACTCGTAGTATCTGTTGCTTTCCCCGACAAAAAATTTCCATCAGGGTTCGTCAAAGAATAACTCAAAATATTCCCGTTCAGTGGCATTGTTACCCAGTGTACAAGATGGCCGTATTCCACTTTGGCTTTCATCAAACTGGTGGGGGTATGGAACAAAAATTTACAGCTTCCTGCCAATCCCAGGTGCGGTCGCTGGTGGGTACTGGACATTGCAGGGGTTGGGAGGTTTTGGTTGTGGGGGTGGGTGGTGGGTGGGTGGGTGGGGAGTGGCCTTTGTTTTAGACCGCTGAGCAGCGCTGGGGCGCACAGGGGTGGGGAAATGGCCCACTTGGTGCCTCAGGGGGCCGGCACCCCATCCAAACCACCATGCACATTTCCATTAATTGCAACATATCATCTCTTTTTCCCCACTGTCTCTTCCTGTTGTACAGCCATGGGGATGTACCCAGATGTACTCCCCCCCTTTAAAATAGATGGCACCTCCCAAAGTCATATATAGTTGCATTACTGACGCTTCACGGGAGATTTTCCCACTTCACTAACACTACAAACGGGTTTAAAGACTTGTATTTTCATATTCACTATCCTACATCCCCAAGCTCACATCGAGCCCGGGTTGGGAAAATGGATTTCCTCTTTGATTCTGGGAAACGAACGTGAACAAGATGTCCAGCACAAAGGTGGGGGCGAGGGGCGGGTGGTTTTCCCCACTATTACCCTATTGTGGGGCATTGTTTCGAGGTTTTGAGGTGGTTCGGACATGTAAGAGAAGGGCGAAACAGAATGACTTAAAGTGTACAGTCTTATGGGAAAGGGGGGGGTAGGGGGGCGGCCTAGGAAAAGGGTTGGAGAGAGGGGAAAGGGGGTTTTGTGTGCGAGGGGGTTTGGACTTCCCGCAGGTAGCTTGGGGCGTTTTGATAGGGGTGAATGGAAAAATTGTTTTTTAATATTTTGTGCTGTTGTGGGGTGAGCAAAGTAACATTTATGAGGGGTTAGGGAAACCGGAGCCGGATTGAGCCTGGAGTGGGAAATACAGTGCCCACTCAAGGGGGTGTTAAGTTGCCCGTTTTTAAAAATGTATTAAAGACCCTTCTGGCAAGACAGTGATGGAGTGAATGATGGTGAAAGTTTTTCTTTTTCGGGCCACCCTGCCTTGGTGGGAATCGGCCAGTGTGATAATAATAAAAAATAGTTTGGGTCACAACCTCGCCAAAATCTTGAAACCTCGTCTTCACTGGCACTTCCATCTGTATTAGAGCTGTCACTGGGGAACAAAAGTGTCCCAATTCGCCGAGGAGTGAGGAGCTTCTTACCACGAGGGATAGTGAACAAGGTCTACTAAAATGGCGTTCCCACAATGCGCCACTGGGTCCCAGATTTTTTTCTCCCACGCACACCGACCACACACACACACACACACACACACACACATTCTCTCGCATCTAGGCCTGCCAGCCTTTTCCCATGAGATTTGAAGGTGGTAGAATTTATGCGTACTAGTACGTCAAACACACTGGCGTGTAAGCTGTACTGGTATGGCTGAAACTCCGAAAGGGTTAATGAAGAAATTGCAGATTCTCCCAGTGTTCGCTCTACTACAGAAAGGATTCCTGGTCTTGCTTATTCTGATTTACCGTGGTTTTTCCCATCAAAGGACCCACGAGGCATTGCTTGATGTTAATGATAAGCTATTGATCCATGATGTTCAGTCTGATCTTCCTTTGCTTGTATCATAGAGTATTGTCTTATAAGAATCATGGGCCCTTTGGGTTTAGCTCTTTCCAACTCATCACCCCCACAGTGTGTATTGATACTGGTTAAAGGCTCTTGATCCATGGAATTTGATCTACCCTCAGACGTTATTAATATTTACATCTGTTAGTGTGTGATTACTGTTTATTAATTTAGTTATCTACTGCTATTAAAATTTCACTTACAGGAATAATTTGAAACTAAATCTTTGGTATTTGTATAAAGTGCTGTATTACTGATTGTAAAGCTTACATTTTATGTAAGGATATTGCAGCTGCCTTGGGACACATTGTATGATGATATTGCAGCTGCCGTAGGACACCTTGTTTTATATGGCAGCTGCCTTAGGGCACCTTGTGTGATGATAATGCAACTGCCTTAGGACACCTTAAGATTGCCAAGATGCAAAATGTTAATGAATTTTAATCTGAAAGTAAGAATATGATTATTTTTGTCGTCATGAAGTGTTGATTAACAGATAAATGTTCTTGCAGATGGAATGTGTGGAACTCTGAGGAAGCAACAGTAACTAGCAATGTGTTCAAGGTATGAGGAGCTCTTTTAAGTGTTGTTGAATCATTGAGGTTCATGATAAATGGTTGTACATGATATAGATACTAAACTCTTTCACTGTCTGTTGCACAGACCTGGGTCATTGAGGCCAGTGTGGCTTGCATTGACCTAAGTCATAATTATAGTTCCCTTACATATGCTGCAATGGGTAAATTTTGGCCTACACTTGAGATAATAAGTTTGGGAAATAAGTGTGCACAGTATCCACTAATTAATGAACCAGTAGGTTGTCCCAGTATTCCATCAATATTGAAGATTGAACTTGGTTCTTCTAATATTCCTGCTGAAGAATAAATTGTAGGTTTTCAAAGTGTTCCCTCATGAATAAATTGTAGTTTTTCCTGTGTTAAAAAGACAAAGATTTTTTTTCTTTGCAAGATTACAATGTGTATTTTCAGTTTTAATTTGTTAAGTATAAAGAAAGAAACTATCATACCAAGGCATTTTGAGCAGACTTATCCTAGTACATAATAACTACTTAAGTCTAGACAAGATGAGTGGTTAAGATAAAGATTTATTAAAAAACCCTTTACCAGGCACTTCTAGGAAAAGGTGAAATTCGAAATGTCTTCACTACAGGCGAATAGAGTATCTTATGTAAGCAAAATGAGCCTATATAAATAGATTTCTAAAAATAAGTTTTTGTTCAGTTGCGAAAACTTGAAGCCGATAAATTTATGGGCCCGCTCGGTAAGGGGTGCCAAATTTCAAATGTTGCAGAGTTGTAAATGTTAATGAAATGTTAAATAAATATTTTTCTAATTAATTAGGCAAATAGACAATATAAAAAGCATAGATGGAACTTGTTTCCAAACATTTTTAAGACCTACAAAAAATATAAGATGAGTCAAAGAACAACATGGACACATTGCATAGGGATAAAACTTGCAGTTCCCATTTTCACGAATTTCTTGAGAAAGAATAATCATTCTCGATGACTATTTCCTAGAATGAAAGGCTGTGAAGCAGTTTTTTTTTTCCCTTCTTGATGCATAGATGTTTCCATTGTATGAGCTTGAAGAGCAAGTTCATCATAAAGATCTTCATCAGAGTATTCCTCGAGTCTAATACCTTTCTTTCCCTTAGCTAATTTAGGCTTTTTTGGATGGCCCGTCTTCTTCCTCATCATCACTTGACACATGTGCATCTGGTGAAAAGTATTCACCACTACTCTCAAGCAATTCTAGGTCAGCTGACTCTGGTTATGAGTCACTTTCCTCAAAAACACAGACATTTGGATTTCTGTTTGGAGGCAGCAATTAAAACAATTTCTCATTGCTTTGTAAGGAAAATAAAAATTCCCATTATACACCCAAACCACCACTGAATTCATATATGCATTATAAAAATTAATATAATTATTTATTTAGTGAAATTGCTACTTTGACCTTGCAGGTCAGGCCCTTAAATTTATTGGCCTTTTACCTTGCAGTTTTTTTTCAATTGAGTGGTACATTTGTATTATGCTTCACACAGACTTCAGTTATGTATCAAAGTATGTCTTAACTATTCATTTATTCACTAGACACAAAAGCCAGTGCTTGCCGACATTGAATTGGGTGAAATCCCTGAGTATGAGTGTAACTCGAGAAAAAAAAACTGCTCTGGATGATGCCAAGCGCAAAATGTTTACATTTTTGTCTCTCAACCAATCGGAATTGAGGAGATGCCACTGTCACTTAATTGGAGCAACTTACTGAAGGCTTGTGATTGGTCAGAACTAGAAAACAGGAACCCAGATGCACAGTGGGAGAAGGAAGACATGTTCAAAAAGTATGCTTTGAGTCCATTAAATTTATGGGCCTGCAAAATAAAGGGTACTGATGTGAGGTAGTCAAGGTGGAGGTTTATAAGAATAATAATCTTGAAGTTGCACATAATAAAAACAGTATTACAATAAATGGTTCCAACAGTAATATTTCATGGATTGGCAGATGTTTTAATAGACTAGAGGTCATATAGTATAATATTTGGGAGAGTTGCTTCAAACTGATTAGAAGTTGTTTTGGTTGGTTTGGATAGTATTGAGAGATGAGATGATTTTTAAGCATAACCCTAAATTTGTATGCTGTCAGGGGATCTTTTACCAGTTCAGGCAGTGATTTCCAGATCTTCGACATTTTATGTGAACTGCATTTTTGTATAGTGAGAGACTAAAACGAGGGATGTCGAAGAGTCCCTTGTGCCTTGTTGTGTGACTGCGTTCTGTTGTAGCTGTAAAGGAGTTTAAAAAGGAGAAGTTTAAGCAGAGGGTTTATATTGGAGTTTAATGTTCTGTATATATTGTAGTCACAGTAATATAAATGTATGTCGCGTATATTTAGTAGGTTCAGGCTTTTGTAAAGTGGTGGGGTGTCCTGTCTGGCACAGGAGCTGGTAATCATAAGCACAGCAGCCTTTTTTTTGGGTTATTAAAGGTTTAATGTGCTTGGCTGTAGTTGATCCCCTGGCACAAATACCATAGGCGAGGTAGGGATATATAGGTACCATCCGACTTACGACCAAGCTTGGTTCCGACCAACCAGTCGTAAGTCAAAATAGACGTAAGTCGAACCTTACTACTGAATATCAACATCGCATTTTTTTAATGATTTTATTTTATTGTTTTATTTTAGTATTTCATTTTTTACTTTTTATGTTGTTAGTACTGCATTTTATACTGTAAGGTTTAGGATAAACACTTCGTAAAATACAAACAGTTGTTTATTTGCCATAAATTTGGCATTCAAAACATGGTCGTATGTCGAGAAGGACACCTTTTGTGATATTGCAACTGCCTTAGGACACCTTTTGTGATATAGTAACTGCCTTAGGACACCTTGTGTGATGATATTGCAATTGCTTTAGGACACCTTAAGATTGCCAAGAGGCAATATGTTAATGAATTTTAATCTGAAGTAAGAACATGATTATTATTTTTCTAGTCACTGTGTTTATTAACAGACAAATTTTTGCAGATGGAATGTGTGGACTCTCAGGAAGGAACAACAACCAGTAATGTGTGCAAGGTAAGACTTGTTCTTTAAGTGTTGTTGAATCATTGAGGTTCATGGTAGATACTAGTATATACCATAGATACTTAAAATTTTCACTGTCTGTTTCACAGACCTGGGTCACTGAGGTCAGTGTGGCTTGCATTAACCTAAGTCATAATTATAGTTCCTTCAAATATATGGCAATGGGTAAGTTTTTGTCTACATATGAGATAATGGGTCTGGGCAATGGATGCATTCATAAATTGATGATTGAACCAGTGGGTATTCCCAGTGTTCCCTCTGCTGAATAAATTGTAGGTTCTCCCAGTGTTCTCTGTGATGAATAAATTGTAGGTTCTCCCGGTGTTCCCTCTGTTTAACCCTTTGAGGGTCGACAGGCCCTCTCCGAAACTCGTTCTCAGGGTCGGCCAAATTTAAAAAAAAAAAATTATTTTCTCTTATGAAAAGATAGAGAATCTTTTCCCGATCATAAAGACACCAAAAGTTTGTAATTTGATAGAAAACTTACGGAATTATGCTCTCGCAAAGTTAGCGGTCTTGGCGATGTTTACGCATCTGCGATTTTGCCCACTTTGAGCCCCATTTTCGGCCAATTTCCCTGTACTAGTCGACAAAAAACATGAATATTTCGCTAGAACTCCATTTTTTCTATCGAATGGGTGCAAGAAACCACTCATTTATGAAATTTGACTATCCAGTACAGTGGTCAGAATTTAGCAATTTTGCCAATTTCACACAAATTTCAAAAGATGCCAATTTCCGAATAGGGTCCAGAATAAACAAGAAAGACATTCCTGGTACTAAAATGACATTTCCTCTAGTCATTAGTCACGTCTCAAGGCCCCTCTTATATTCTTTTGCTTTCCACTTTGAATTTTTATTTTCACAAAAAATATAAGATTTACTGTTATGCAGACTACTGCATTAGTGTAAAAAATGGTATAAATATTATTGGTGCACTTGTGAAAGAATATTAGACTCACCAGTTGACGTGTATTGCATGCTTGGCACGATTTGTTTACTTTTGAAGTTTGGTAAAAATCGAATATTTCTGCTACTTTGAGCTCAATTTCAAGGCACCTTTCTTTGTAAAACCAGTCAAAATCATCTCAATTTCTGTAATATGTCTTCCATTCTATAAAATGAGACCAAGAAAACTAGAATACAACAATAAATACCATACGAAAATTCACTGCAAAGTCGCTGATTTATTAAAAAAAAATGGTCAGTTTTTTTTTTCTCATTATGCACTGTGTGCTGCAGGATTTTTTTTAGACTATATTGTAATCTTCAGATATTGCTATTAATTAGTTAATCCGTTATTAGTGTGTGATTGTTGTTAACCCTTTGAGGGTCGACAGGCCCTCTCCGAAACTCGTTCTCAGGGTCGGCCAAATTTCAAAAAAAAAAAAAATTATTTTTTCTTATGAAAAAATAGTTTTTTTTTCTAAACATTATAGGATAAACAAAAAAAATTTACCATCAATACTTACGGAGATATGGATGCATGAAGTTTGCAGAAAATGAGCCGCGTATGGCAACAGCGACGACTGCCGCTCACCTGGTAAACTTTAGTTTACTTGTATTTGAAGGTTTGTTGTTTTTTTCACTATTTTATTTTTTCACATAACTTATGTGGCCTATGAGACCAAAGTAAGGTGCAATGTACATATATACATTCGTTGTATACAGCACAATAAGCACACAAACATAATTATCAATATATTGTTTACAAAACTTGTTTACAAAAACAAACAATACAAAACATTGTTTATTATTATTGTTCTGTAATATATATACCAATATACAGTCACTGAACATATTCCTATTAGTTCTGCAGCTTGTGGAACTCTGAAACATGGTGTCATACACAATGGTGTTTTATCTTTCTCCCTCATTCTATCTCTTTCAATCTGTCTCTTTCTGTCTATCTCTGTCTCACAGGTACACATAAATACAAGTATACATAGTATAAATTACCTAGGATAACCCAAGAAATCCAGACAAAGTGCTATACTCTGCTTGAAGATGTGAGTAAAAGTGATGACACAGTCTTGTGGCTCTCTCTGAGACAGAGCTAGACGGATAGACAGATACAGGGAGCTTGACAGACAGACAAATAGACAGACAGAAATGTTAGTGTACCAGTACCAGTGTACTAGTGTTCCACCCTCTTCCTCCTCTTCCCCCTACTCTTCTTCATACTCTTCCTCTTCCTCCTACTCTTCCTCTTCCTCCTCCTCCTCTTCTTCCTCTTCCTCCTCTTCTTCCTCTTCCCCCTAATCTTCCTCCTACTATTCCTCTTCCTCCTCCTCTTCCTCTTATTCCTCTTCCTCTTATTCCTCTTCCTCCTACTCTTCCTCTTCCTCCTCTTCCTCCTCCTCTTCCTCCTCCTCCTCTTCCTCCTCCTCCTCCTCTTCCTCTTCCCCCTACTCTTCCTCCTTCTCCTTCTCCTCCTCCTCCATAGTGTAAATTACCAGGAGTCGGCAGCTGTCAAAATGACATATTGTCTCATTACTCACTCCCCCTCCCGCCTGTCAAAACAATGGGGTCCGATGCTGCTTCCCTTCCTCCATTCTATCTAATTATCTTTCTCCCTCATTCTATCTGTCTGTTTATCTCTGTCTCACAGGTACACATAAATACAAGTATACATAGTATAAATTACCTAGGATAACCCAAGAAACCCAGACAAAGTGCTATACTCTGCTTGAAGATGTGAGTAAAAGTGATGACGCAGTCTTGTGGCTCTCTGAGACAGAGAGCTAGACGGATAGACAGGGAGCTTGACAGACAGGCAAATAGACAGACAGAAATGTTAGTATACCAGCAAAAACAAAGGGAGGGCGTTGTTCATCTCATCTTTTGGTATCAGCTCTACCCTCATTTACCCTCATCAAACGTCAGCACTTATCAGATGTTCTCCCCTTATCTTGTTACTGTCATGGGTGAACATTTATTATTACATATTATTATTATTATTACCTATTATTATTATGTATTATTATTATGTATTATTATTATTATGTATTATTATTATTATGTATTATTGTTATTACGTATTCTTCTTCCTCCTCCTCCTCTTCTTCCTCCTCCTCTTCCTCCTCCTCCTCCTCCTCCTCCTCTTCTTCCTCCTCCTCCTCCTCCTCCTCCTCTTCTTCCTCCTCCTCCTCCTCTTGCCTCCTCCTCCTCTTGCCTCCTCCTCCTCTTGCCTCCTCCTCCTCTGCCTCCTCCTCCTCCTCCATTCTTGGAACAAGTTTGAAGAGCTTGTAGTTCATAATCACTATCATTATCATCACCAATGCTCACATCTGAGTCTGGGATTTTGGAAAATAGAGTTTCCTCTTTGATTCTGGTACAACTGAACGTGAACAAGACGGCCCAGCACCAGAGGTGGAAGGCTGTGGGTTGTCTGGGTTTTCCTCACTATTACCCATATTAGGTCATTAGTTTCGGTCAAAACCTCACCAAACCTTGAAACTCATCTTCACTGTCACTTCCATCTGTATTAGAACTGTCACTGGGGAACAAAAGTGTCCCAATTCGCCGAGGAGTGAGGAACTTCTTACCGCAGGGCACGGTGGAAATTGTGTACTTTGATGGCATTCCCACAATGCACCACTGGGTCCCAGATTTTTTTCCTACTGTGCACACCCACCACACAGACCCATTCTCTCACATCTAGGCTTATCAGCCTTTTCCTGCGAGATTTGAGGCCGCTAGAATTTATGCGTACTAGTACGTCAAAAACCCCTATGCGTAAGACGTACTAGTACGACCAAAACCCTCAAAGGGTTAATGAAGTCAGTTAGCCAATGCTATTTATCAAAATTTCACTTAAAAGTATAATTTGAAGCTAAATCTTTGGTGTTTTGTTAGCTCAGGGGGCGGCAAACTTTTTTGGGTATTACCCCAAAACAAATTTGTGTTCAGAGGAATTACCCGCCAGACTTGAAAGTCCGCAGTCCAGAAAAACACAAGGAGCGTTCAAATTCCAAATAGTTTATTGAATTCATTTGTATGGAGAATAGTTATACAAACTGAAAAGTATGTATTATATGTGATAAAGCAAATTTAAAAATAAAACCCAAAATTAACAAAATAATAAAATGAAAAATGAACTGCATGAAATTAATAGCAACAGACAAATTTAATAAAAATCTCATTAAGGAACTAAAGAATATCATTGAAAACATTTTCGCTTCAGGTTCTGGAGCAATGATTTCATCTTCGATACTGATTAGGACTTTTTGATGTCAGAGCAATTTGTATACTGTCTTTGACGTTCAACCTATTTTTGTAATGAGAGTGGAAAATCCTTGTTCGCAAAGATAAGCGAGTTGCAAATGGCAAGAAAGGCACCAAACATTTATATTATTATTTGAGTACTAAAATATCTCTAAATGGAATCATATATTCTGATAAAAAACTAAAATATAAATATAAATATTACATTGTACACTCCTAATTGTTATGACAAATCACAAAACACTACCTTACCTTGCTCATTGAAAGTTGAGACCATGGCTCACAAACTTGCTGTGTCAAAGAATTTAAAAAAAAAAATTCTCAGGAAATGATAATCTTTTTTCAATGGTATTTAATCCAAAAGTATGAAATTTGACGGAAAACTTTCAGAATTATGCTCTCACAAAGTTGGCAGTCTTGGTGATATTTATGCATCCACAATTTCGCTCACTTTGAGCCCTATTTTTGCCCATTCCATTGTTCCATTCAACCAAAAATCATAGCTATTTTGCTAGAACTCCTTTTGTTCTATCGATTAAGTACAAGACCAACAATTTACAGATTTCAACTAACCAATAAAGTGATCAGAAATTGGTAATTTGGCCAATTTCATACACAATTCAAAGAAGAATTAACAATGCAAACATTCCAAGCACAAAAATAACATTTTTCCTCTTCATTAGTCATGTCTCCAGGCCCCTCTTGTTTACTCTTGAACATCAGCAAAAATCGAATATTTCCACTAATTTGAGTTCCATTTCAAGGTACTCTCAATCTGTAAAGCATTGAAAATCATCTGTCTTTCTGTAATATATCTTCCTTTTTATCAAATGAAACCAAGGGAACGAGAATACAACCATAAATACCATATGAAAATACAGTGCAAATTTGCTGTTTTAAACCAAAAACAGTGAGTTTTTTTTCTCATGCATTGTGTGCTGCAGGATTTTTTTTATACTGTGTTCACTGACCACTCAGACCCATTATCTCATATGTAGGCCTGCCAGATTTCTCCCGCAAGATATGAAGCTGCTAGAATTTTGGCGTAGTATTACGGAACCGACACTGACTCGAAAGCCATAATATGGGACTGACAGTGAAAGGATTAATCCAGGTGACATAAAAAATGAACTTCTATTGACTGCAAGCAGAAACAGTCATTGATAGTGAGATAGGACACTAGGCCAAAAGTTAGGTGATGGTGTGTCAACAGTGGGATACGCAGTTGTCGTGCCAGCTCCCAAGTCACTGCTGACACTTGCGGTGTTGCCAGCCACTGCAGTCCTTACCTGTTTTACATCATTGCCAACTTAAGAAATCATAACTACAAATGAGATTTTTTATTTTATTAAACTACAAATTATTTGTTTGAAAAATATAACTTGTAATTTGCGTTGTTTGTTTAATAAATTTTTGTGAAATTTTATATGTTTATTGAGCCTTCATTGCCCCTGAGATTTTCATTTTTACCCCATTTGGGATAATTTTCCCCAGTTGTTTGCTGGCCCCTGTGTTAGTGTTGTATTATTGATTGTAAAACTTCCATTGTGATATTGCAACTGCCCTAGGACACCTTGTGTGATATTGCAACTGCCCTAGGACACCTTGTGTGATATTGCAACTGCCCTAGGACACCTTGTGTGATATTGCAACTGCCCTAGGACACCTTGTGTGATATTGCAACTGCCTTAGGACTCCTTAAGATTGCTAAGAGGCAAGATGTTAATAAATTTTAATCTGAAAGTAAGAATATGATGATGAGTAGGTAGTAGGTTGGTAGACAGCAACCACCCAGGGAAGTACTACTGTCCTGCCAGATGACTATGAAACAGAAACCTGTAACTGTTTTGCATGATGGTAGGATTGCTGGTTTCTTTTTCTGTCTCATAAACACGCTAGATAACAGGGATATCGTGCTACTCCTACTTACACTTTGGTCACACTTCACAGACACGCACATGCATATGTATATACATACATCTAGGTTTTCCCCGTTTTCTAAATAGCTCTTGTTCTTCTTTATTTCTTGTATTGTCCATGGGGAAGTGGAAAAGAATCTTTCCTCCGTAAGCCATACGTGTCGTATGAGGCGACTAAAATGCAGGGAGCAATGGGCTAGTAACCCCTTCTCCTGTAGACATTTACTAAAAAAGAGAAGAAGAAAAACTTTATAAAACTGGGATGTTTGAATGTGCGTGGATGTAGTGCGGATGACAAGAAACAGATGAAAAGAAGTTGGATGTCCTGGCCCTAAGCGAAACAAAGCTGGTGTGTGAGGGGCTTGGACTTCCAGCAGGCATGCATGAGCGTGTTTGATAGGAGTGAATGGAAACAAATGGTTTTTAATACTTGTAAAGCACCCTTCTGGCAAGACAGTGATGGAGTGAATGATGGTGAAAGTTTTTCTTTTTCGGGCCACCCTGCCTTGGTGGGAATCGGCCAGTGTGATAATAAATAATAAAATAAGAATATGATGATTACTTTGGTAGTTATGAAGTGTTTATTAACAGACAATTTTTTTTTCAGATGGAATGTGTGGAACACTCAGGAATAACCAGTAATGTGTGCAAGGTAAGAGTTGTTCTTTAAATGATGTTGAATCATTGATGTTCATCATAGTAGATACTAGCATATTCCATGAATACTAGTATATACCATAGTTACTAAACAATTTCACTGTTACACAGAAATGGGCCATTGAGGCCAGTGTGGCTTGTGTTGACCCATATCATAATTATAGTCTATTGAATATGCTACGATTGGTAAATTTGGCTTACATATGATAATTAAACCATTTTCCCAGCATTCCATGAACAATGATGAGCAAGCTGGTAGTGTTTCCTTTGATGAATAAATCATAGGTTTTCGAGTGTTCCCTCCAATGACTTAATTATAGGTTCTTCCAGTGTTCCCTCTACAACACAGGAGATTCCGGGTCTTGTTTATTGGGATTCGTCATGTTTTTTTTTCTATCAAGGGCCCTTCAAGGCATTACTTGATGTTAGTGAGAAGCTCTTGTTCCATGATATTGGATCTAACCTTCCTTCATTTGTCATTCAGTATTGCCATTCAGGCATCATGGCCCCCTTTGGGTATAGTTCTTCCCAACTCATCCCCTGTAGTATGTTTTGATATCGGTCAACGGCTCTTCATCCATGGAATTTGGGCTACCGACCTTCAGAGAAAGCCTGATTATATTGCATTATCTTAATGTTGTTATTGATAATTTTAAAAGACCTGTTACTAATGTGTGATTGCTGTTAATGAATTTGGTTATCCACTGCTATTAAAATAACTCTTATAGGAATAATTTGAAGCTAAATCTTTGGTGTTTGGATAAAATGCTGTATAATTGATTGTAAAACTTACATTTTATGCGATATTGCAACTGCCTTAGGACACCTTGCGTGATATTGCAACTGCCTTAGGACACCTTGCGTGATATTGCAACTGCCTTAGGACACCTTGCGTGATATTGCAACTGCCTTAGGACACCTTGTATGATATTGCAACTGCCTTAAGACACCTTAAGATTGCCAAGAAGCAAGATATTAATGAATTTTAATCTGAAGTAAGAATTTGATTATTATTTTTGTAGTTTTGAAGTGTTTATTAAGAGAAATCTTTGCAGATGGAAAATGTGGAACTCTAAGGAAGCAACCAGCAGTGTGTGAAAGGTAAGAGTTGTTAAAATAGTAACCTTCGTTTCTTTTGTACAGTAGAGCTCTGCTTGTATGGCAGGTTAGGTTCCAGTTTATATTGCCGGAAAGCAGAGTGCCATTCTCTTCCACTAATAAATGCATATAAATGCCAGACAAGAAGTTTGCATGAACTTGCATTAAGTTAGTAATAAAACTAGGCATTAAAAAAAACAAAAAGGAAATACACAGTACATTCATTACTTACCTTAAAACATTTGTAGTCTTAATGTATGTTTGGAGGTCTGAAACGGACTAATCTAATTTACATTTTTCCCTATGGGAAAAAATTCGTTTGGTAACGGCACTCGAACAGCTGTCTGGAATGAATTGTGGCTGAAACTCGGGGTACCACTGTAGTACTGTACAGTAGGGCCCCGCTTTACGGCGTTCCGCTAATACGGTCGTTTCAAATTATGACCAGAAAACTCTATATGGCTCCCCCCACCTGACTTTCTAATACGGTCACCGTGCCCCACCCGGTTTGTTTACATTAGCTGTGAGATCCATAAGCACTAAGTCTCTCCATTATGTCTGGAAACTCCAGAATTTCAAAGTGTTTTTAACCCTTTGAGGGTTTCGGACGTACTAGTACGTCTTACGTGCAGGGTTTTTTGACGTACTAGTACGCATAAATTCTAGCGCCGTCAAATCTCGCGGGAAAAGGCTGGTAGGCCTCCATATGAAAGAATGGGTCTATGTGGTCAGTGTGCACAGTATAAAAAAAATCCTGCAGCACACAGTGCATAATGAGAAAAAAAAAACTTTCACCGTTTTTTTGGCATAAAACAGCGACTTTGCACTGTATTTTCGTATGGTATTTATTGTTGTATTCTAGTTTTCTTGGTCTCATTTTATAGAATGGAATGCATATCACAGAAATGGAGATGATTTTTGCTGGTTTTACAATGAAAAGTACCTTGAAATTGAGCTCAAAGAAGCAGAAATGTTTGATTTTTACCAAAGTTCAAAAGTAAACAAATCATGCCAAGCGCCCAATACACGTCAACTGGTGAGTCTAACATTCTTTTGCAAGTGCACCAATATGATTTATACCATTTTTTACACTAATGCAGTAGTCTGCATAACAGTAAATCTTTTATTTTTCGTGAGAATAAAAATTCAAAGTGGAAAGCAAAAGAATGTAAGAGGGGCCTTGAGACGTGACTAATGAACAGAAGAAATGTCATTTTAGTGCCAGGAATGTATTTCTTGTTTGTTCTGGACCCTATTCGGAAATTGGCATTTTTTGAAATTTGTGTGAAATTGGCAAAATTGCTAAATTCTGACCACTGTATTGGATAGTTGAAAATGGTAAATGAGTGGTTTCTTGCACTCATTTAATAGAAAAAATGTAGATCTAGCGAAATATTCATGTTTTTTGTCGACTAGTACAGAGGAATTGGCCCAAAATGGGGCTCAAATTGGGCAAAATCGCCGATGCGTAAACATCGCCGAGACCGCTAACTTCGCGAGAGCATAATTCCGTAAGTTTTTCATCAAATCTCATAATTTTGGTGTCATTATGATCGGGAAAACATTCTCTATCTTTTCATAAGAAAAAATTATTATTTTTTTTTTTAAATTTGGCCGACCCTGAGAACGAGTTTCTGAGAGGGCCTGTCGACCCTCAAAGGGTTAAAAGCTATTTCATATTTTATATATACTCTGATAATTATACTTATGTATACCTGTACCTAAATAAACTTACGTACTGTGCTGGCATGCAGGTACACATTAAAATCAGTAAGAGTGTCTTATATCTCGAGACGTCGTATTAGTAATGATAATCACGGAGTCTCATTAAATGTCGTATATTACATCTCTTCTAAGCAAATTTCTTCTGAGTTGAAGGAAGTTGTATTATGAAATGATCACCTTCCCTCCCTTCAAACGTTTGATATATTCCTGAGTAAATCGAGACCTTGTTGTATAGAGCAGGTGTTCTGCCTGTATTTCATTATGAGTTGTCCTGAATAAAACAAACAAAATTCACCATAACGGTGGTCTGTTGCCAGGAGTCTTATTTGGTACATATTATATGCAATGGCATTGAAATGTCCATGAAAGGAAGAAAAGGTTTCAAGGTAACCACTTGTAACTCCTTACGAACACGTCAACAAAACCAATCTGCATGACACATATAATCAATCACAGTCCAGTTTTCGAAACATTCATTAGTCACTTAATCAACTTTGGCACTGTCTTGCATTTCATTACGGGAATGGTTGTCAACAATGTGACATCTCGTTTGTTCATGGCCACCTTAATGCCATGATGTCATTGGCACTAACACCTGCACGTTCATCACCACGAACACACTGCGTTGAGCCTGGGCATATGTTTATGATTAGAACGCACTGTGCCACAGAACACATCCTGTCTTTCACTCACACTGAAATCACTTGAGTATGGGCTTTTGTACCAGTTATTCGTATATATGTAATGCCCCTTACCAAGATAAGGTGCCATCATGTTTCTCTTCTCACTACATCACCTGAATACCCAATAACATCTTGGTATCTTCAATGTTTTACTTCCCTGTATACATCGATATCCAACCACCAGGCCGACTGTCCTCAGTCCCAGAGTACAAACAGTATTTTATACCAAAGCCGTTTCCTCTTTTTGCTCGGTATATACTGCTTGAATGACGGGAGTCTAACCTTGAACAAAATCAAAAACTCGTCAATACAAGATTCCTGAATGGATAAAAGTATATGCTGAACTTTTGTTTGAGATACATAAACAACATTTCTAATCATGATAAACCTGTCACTTCTGACAAGGCCTGGTTGTGTCAGAGAAGTACAACATACATAACAGTAAAGATAATCCTTTCTCTGGGATAATTTCAAATATTTCACTGAAGACCGGGGTAGAAATTAGCCGATCTGTGGACGCATTAACTTTTATATTATGCTTATAGACATGAGCATAAGCAATTAATTGTTGCAAAAGCAAATACTTTCTGCAAACGTCGTCACTTTCACCTGGTAGTCTTGACTGTGGTGATATGATCGTATTGCCATGGTGTACTCAAAATACTTATTTACTTTTCCCCTGACATATTTCCATCAATAGCTGTCAAAGAATAATTCAAAGAATACCAGTTCATTGGCCGTGGTTCCAAGGGACAAGTAGGTAGAATTCGGCGCTTTGAGAGTCATCAAAGTGGTGGGGGGCTTGGAACAAAATTGGGATTTTGCTGACAGTCTTAGATTACGGATTGGGGCTGGTGGATAACTGGCATCATAGGCTGGTTGTGCGTGTGGTTGTGGTGGGCTGATGGCTGACGCTCCCGCTTTGGGTCCTTGAACTGACGAGTCAGCAGCGTGGGTCCCAAGTCTGGGCTGGTGAGTCACGCTGGACAGTGCCCTACTATCATATCAACACTACCACCATCTGTTGATGCCTGTGGTCCCTATCCATGCCAAGGTGTAGTATGGGATCAACATCATCCTCTCAATCACTATCTAAAAATCCTGGTGAAGGGCCACGGGATGTACTCCGTCCCCTGGTACAAGCAATAGGGTACACTACCAGCGCATGCAGCGCGTTACATTCCGATGCTTTCAACTGGTGAATATGATTCTCACTATCACTACTCGAATGATCGTCAAGCTCAATAAAATCGCAATCCACGTACACTATCATCTTCATTACTAAAGTCAGAGCCTGGCCACGCGAAAATATTAGTTTTTCTCTTCTTGAGGCACCAAACGACGCGTGAGTAAAAACGAGTGCCCACCACCAAAGGTAGAAGGTTGAGGATCGTCAGGGTTTTCTGCACTATTATCGATATCCATCCCGGTCATTCCCCTTGAGGTCACAACTGATCCACAAAAGCCATAGAATTCGTCTTTATTTCCACTTCCATCAGTGTCAGAACTATCAGATTAGGAAGAGAGAGTCCCAATTTTCCGGAAGTGAGAGCAGAACTTGCGACGAGGGCCATGTGAACAAGGGTAACTGATCCGGCGTTCCCACAATGCTTTGCGGGCGCCTAGATTTTTTGTTTATGGCGCACACACCGACCACGCAGACCCGTTCTCTCACATGTAGGCCCTAATGAGCGCTTCTTTCTGTGCTAAATTTGACGGCGCTGAATTTTGACATAGATCTAGGTTGGGACACTCAACGTGAAGCCGTAGTCTAACGGGTACGGACCCTGAGAAGGGTTAAAATAATTGGTGATTGCCTGGGAACCATATCTCCTTTTTCCTTTTAAAAGAAAGGATTTTTTTCCCATCAGACAAAATTTGGGGCGCTACGCGAGTGAAACGTAAATATACGTTAGCGGACCGTTAAGGGTAAAGAGTGTAATTGTGCTTGAAGAGTATCCATATAATATATGATTGTAACACAATACATATCACTGAGTGCGTATTAAATGTGTATGAAACGTTAATAAGACATTTTGTTAATCTATTGATTTTTTTTTAAATTATATAATAAACATGCTACATAACATCTAAACCTATAAATTCAACCAAAAAAGATGATTTTCCTGGTCGGCTTGACAAGTGAACAAAAACCTTTCGTGTCTCAGAGCTGGTAACACAACGTTTGTTTTTACAAAACTCACGAACCTTCTACACAACAACTCATTCTCTCTCGTCTCGTTTTATTCAATTTAATCTGTTTACTCACCTCTCCACTCTGCATTAAAGACTACAGGTAATTTTAAGGTAAGTAATGTGTGGACAACGATTATTATATTATAGTTTAATAATAATTATAATATAGTACGTGAGTATTATTGTTGGGTGTTCGACATGTAAGAGAGAATGGTGCGAAACAGAATGACTTCAAGAGTGTATCAGTCTGTAGTGGAAGGGAGGCGGGGTAGGGCAGCCTAAGAAAGGTTTTGGAGGGAGGGAGGGGTAAAGGGGTGTGTAATATACATTCTTCGTACCTGTAAGT